GAAGATTGTTTCACCTTTCTGCTCTTTTTTCTCCCCTGTGTGTCTTCGGGGAGATTAGCATGCTGGCTAGAAGAACAGACGGACGAACTTGACTAATTGCAACTCGTGCTAAATCTCTAATCTTTTCAAAAAGACAAGAGGCCAAAGAAAGCAAGAAGCCAGCAAATCCAATTTAAATCATCACGGAGTCGCTGAAGTGCCTCAAGTGAAATTCAAATGGGCCCGGCTGCAGTTCTTTGACTGATGGGTCACCATTAAATGGTCATCATGCTGTCGGGTTGGTTTGTGTTCTTGCACTCCAACTCCGACTCTTGGCCATTAGAGTGCAATTTGATGCTGTGAGCGCTCTCAGAATAAACAGCTCATCAAATCAATTGTTCGTGGATGCAAATTTACCAAATTGCCCATTTGGCGCATTAGGAAGTTGCAGACAGTTTTCCATCTTGAGCCATTTGCTAGTATTTTTTTCCTCTCCTTCTCTCCTTTTGGGATGCAACTCTGCAGCCGTGTAAAAAGGTGGCGTCAAATTGGGTGTAGATTTCGGGATAGTTTTCCCCAGCCAAGAGGCTCGAAACACCCACAAGAACATGTTTTCATGTGTGTTTCCGCAGGGCATCTTTGGATGAATTATTTTTCACCGCGCGTTGCCTCAATTTACTCTTCATTTCTGATGAGTACACGAGAGAGGCCAAGAGACTTTGCTGTAGTCTGGAAATTGTAATAAAATCTGGGTTTCTCTTAGGAATGGATTATAGATATCCAAGCAGAAAGTTGTCGTTGCTTCTATTGTGAAAATTATCCCTTCAAATACTTTAAAAGTGCGGAAGTGATTGAAATTTCTGACTAATATTTCAAGTGGAAGGCAGTTTTTGAGGGAAATTTCAATGAAACGGGATGAAATATCGTGATGCTGGCCAACTCTAAGACAGAATGCACGAAGTGGGAAAAGGAGAGCAATTTGAAATTGTGCGAAGAATCGGTGGGACGAGCAGATGAGAGAGCTGCCAAGGAATTAAATCATCAAACAGACAAGACCTGAAATCGTCAGCTTGCAATTTCCGCGCACTGGATCCGTTCCCACGCACTGGGGGCACCGCAAATGCCGGCTTCGATGGGGGCAACAAAGGGCTCGGATGCTGCCTGGCATTTGCCTGATGTTGCCACGACGCTAGGAGGATAAGCACTTGAATCATTTCGCGCTCTCACCTGAAATTATCGCATAATGGCGCGTCTGCCATCCATGCAAAACGACTCCCTGTCTGCAAAAACACGACTGCTGGTGAGCCGGGATGATCGAAACAAATGCACGCACACCGAATTATATGGTCAGCAGAGATTTCGATGCGGCTTCTGCTTAGAGACTGCGGCACTCCTGCAATCACCCTTTCGTGCCTCGCACGCCATACACACACTTTTTCCGGCCGGACGCCCGGACAATGTCGAGGGCTCTCTGGCAGCTCTATTGGCTTTCTTGCTTATTTGTTATTTCTTCTATTGGCGCTGCGGTTTCAACTGTTTTGGGGCTCCTTTTTGGGGGCCGCGAATGGCGCGTATAATGAAGTCGAGCGCATTGAAAAGTCCATCTCATAAATATAGATTTTTTCCACGAGCCTCACCAAAGAGGGTGTGGAAAGAGATTTAATGGAATTTCCACGAATTCTGCACTGGACACTCATTAAATGAGTGCAGAAGAGAGAAGGATAAAAATATTAGAGTAAGAAAGATTGGCTGATGATGAGGGAGGTTGGAAGTCATGTCAGGCTTTTTTCCCATCCATGCGCGAACAGCCTATAATGAGATTTGATGGGAGGCAAGAAAAAGTGGCCACAATATAAATCAATTGGGAGGCATGACAATTTTTACAACTCCAACTCATAAATCATGCGATCGTGATTTGCGGGCAGGGAATTATAGAAAATCTTGTGACTATGTAATTACATACTTTGATGGTTGGTTTGTCCACTTAAGGCGTCACACACATCCACAAGCCTTGTGGGAAACCACAAGCCACCTTATTGCAATCTGTACACATTCGCAAAAGTGTGCGCCCGCGTGGGGGAAATTGGTGCGAAAGACATTTTTCACATTCCAGCGCCGGTGTTTCCCAGACTTTTCCTTCCTCCACGTTGAGCTCTTGTGGACAAAATGTTTTGGCATGAAGATGAGGCGTCACGAATCCCGTACGGAGAGCGAGTGTGTGTCTCGGAAATTACACGCTGTGCTTGTGGTTTTAGGACAGCAATTAAATCGACATTAGCCGTAAATCATCTCCCCAACAAATCTCGCGCCCATTCTGACAATCACCAACACCACGAGGAGGCCATCAGCTCTGGGCTCTTTTTCTGGCCGCACCGCCAAATACCAAGAAGTTGAGGTATTCCCTGAAAAACAGTGACCATGATTTTGATTGTCTCGTAGACACATTTTCAAACAATTTAATATCCAAATGTTCCGTGAACACCTTTTTTGTCCACGCGCGACTTGCCGGATTTTTTGATAAAAATATTGGCTAAACCTCATTGTGCTTAAAGTCAATTTTAATTGTCTAATATGTGATTGTGTCCTTGTAACCAATAGCATCTCGCATTGACTCAAAGTCACTTTCTTTCTCAACCCATCAATTGAGACCATCCGTCATTGTTTTGCACAATTCATCAATGATTATGCCTTCCTTTCGCTTCTCAATGCTTGTCCTCTAGCTAAACTTCCTCGTTCAATTGCTTACTCTTAATTAGTGTGTATCCTCCAAACTTAATCACTTCTGAAACTCTCCTGCATCTTGCATACAGACGATTTAGGGGTTAAACTTGAGTGTGGGCTGAATTTGATACATAGAAATCAATTCCAAACCGTTCTATTTACAATATACTATTCTAAATGAAATCCTTCTTCAAAGTTATTTGAGGAAAAATGTGAAATAATAAATACAGAGAGTAGGGATTTGGGTCTGCGAATCCATAATTTGTGTGGCATTTCTGAAAAATAGCCGCGAAAACAATCACTATAAATCACTCTCTAATCTTCTTCGGCAAACACAATGGCAGACTTTCTGCAGTTTCACCCACAAAGCGCCAAGTGAGTGAGTGAAAAATATAAATTATACTGATGCAACTCCCTAACTGTGATTTGATATCCATCTCGGGCAATATCAACCCGTTTTAATTATCCCTCAAACCCGCGCGTTTTCGGTTTGAGCGAATACACACATGCGGAAGACACGCGGAAAAAGTTTTCCCCTTGGCAAATATGAAACTTTTCTGCATTTTGCAGTCCCAGGGCAGAAAACAACCACCCTTTCTGATGGCGGAAAATGATGCGGAAATCGCACTGAGGCAATTTGTTGACTCGTGAGAATTGAAAACGCTTTAGCCGCAGAGAAAACTAGTGCGTGCAAAAATTCCTTCTCCTTCACAACTTTCTCCGCGTGCGGGAGAAATTCTAATTAATCCTCGAGTATCATCGTGGGGTGGAAAGGCGCAGCCATAACCTTCCCAAACACTTTTAATGTTTTGACTCACTTTTCACTCCACTTGCCAGGGATTGTTGGGTCGAACCGCGGGGCCCGCGAGGCGCCACCACCCACGCCATGGCCGTGCATTTGGGGCGGAGGGACGACTTTGTGTGGGGTGCGCGCGTTCGCGACCAATAACGACTATGCAAATTAGCCATCAAACTGATGCAATCAGCATAATTAGCATGTATCAGTTATTTCGTACAAAACTTTGGAATTTATTTACTGCACACGCGGGAAAGTCGGATTTGTGCCACTGTGGGCGGAGAGGCGCCCCAATATGCACCCGCAAAGAGTGCACAAACCAAGGGTGGCCCTCGCAAGCCAATTCACATATTTGTGCCGCCATGGCAATCCAACAACACAACGCGCCACTCTCGCGCCCTGATAATAAACGATAATAGTTCCCAATCTTCCTCGTGGGCTTCGCCACACAAATCACCCACAGTTGGGCAAAGTATGGACAGAAGTTTGCCTGAAGAACAAATTCTGCGGATCGTGATGGTTGCATCAAGGCTCACACAACACTTCCGAATAGCAGTTCAGGGATTGTTTATCAATGAAGCGAAGAATTATAAACTTATAGATTCTAGAAATGGGAAATATTGAAGTTAGATCAAACGGAAGTGTAAAAATTTTACGTAGAGATTAAAGATTAGTGATTAGCTTTGCTAAAATCGCATTTACATGCGATATTACTTACCCTGATCACTCATGGAACTCACATTCATCTCTCGATTCACGCTCCAGTCCGCAATATCCCCGCTCTGCCCTAAGTAGAAGTGTACAATTTCTGTAAACGTAATTTCTCCATTTTATTTGAAAGCAAAGCAGAAGCCACGGCGTGAGCTTAAGAGTGCGAGTGGGTGGGAAAGAGGAAAAGAGTGTGAGGATTATAAGAAGAGACATTAAACTGTTGTGTTCTATTATTGTTCTTGGTCATTAAATGCGAATAATGAAGTTTGGTGGATTTTGCTCCCGAAATAACACAACCGAAGCAAATTCCTGTGGCATTAATGTCTCTATTTGCCAAAAACACCACACGAGAGATATTTCCTCTTCGATCTAGCATTTTCACACCGGAAATTGTGTCTCATTTCCTGCGCCAATTGCAATATCTTCGCAGTGATCCGGGAGTTTTGGGCGAATCCCTCTTGGGCAGCGCGATGCTGATGAGCCGTGAGAGAGAAGATGGTTTTTTACGAGGGCGGAGCGTCTGGCATTCCTGACATCGAGACAAGACACAATATGGATAAGTTGTGGACTCCACCTCTGTTTTAAGATCTTGTTCTTTGGATACATGGTTGTTTTATATACGCGCTGCGCGGATGAAACTGCCGCCGCTTGTCTCTTTTGTGGTCAGCGTGTTTCACTGTTGATCCGCATAGGGAAACAAAAGGAAATAATGAGAGTGACTTCAGCAGAAGCAAGCTCGGGCCCTCGAAGGCTGCAGCCTCCCTCTGTTTCCCATGCTTCACCGTCTGCCGTGTGTGTTTGCAGTCTCTGGAAGGAGGAAGACTTTGTTGCATCTCTGCCATTTCTTCTCTGGCATTCCCAATTGCGGTGGCCATTCGAGAAAAAAGAAGCGGGTTTTTGTTATTTTCAACAGCAAGTTTCTTTTTATTTGTTTCTCTCTTTTTATCATCATAATTTGTTCATTTAACTGATTTAGAGCCAATAATTATGTTTATAATATTGATTATAGGAATAATTATTACCTTTTAAATTTTACATTTCTTATAGGGTTTTTCATTCTGTTAAATAATTTATAATCGTCCTTCGATTATGCTGAAGAAGCTGCAATTTTTTTCTCAATGACAAGAGTATAGATTCCTATATAAGATAGTTGTATATAAAGGATTGCGTTGATGCGTTCTTTTGGGAGCCTGGTGGAGGAAGTGATGTCCTCATGAAAAATTTCTCTAAATTTCGTATACATTTCATTACTTTAATAGAGACTTTACCATATTTAGCTTCTCATTACGTATTTCTTCCAATATTTTATTTCAATAAATTTGAATTATTAAATCTACACTATAGACTTTTGCTTCTATTTTACAGCATTTACTCTAGAAATGTTTTCTCTCTTCCTTTTCTGATAAATCAAAAAAAGAAATAGTTGAGAAATAGATTTTTTTACTAACCTCTAATTCTTGGTTGTTTTCTTCATCTCCATTTTATACAAGAAATATCATTCCGAAGGGGAAGGAAGTTGAACAGTGCGCAATAATGATAAAAATTTAGTAATACTTGAAGGACAAGATGTTTTTTTTTGTTTTGCTTTCTGGAGTTATTAATTCACTACATATCTCACCTTTTTTTAATTAATTTAATCACTCTATCATTACGTTTAATAGTTATTTACTTAAATATGTACATCGAGTCAATTAAGTTGGTGTTGGAGCCTTAAATGTATTCATACTCTTCTGCTCATCCACGCTATGTCTACGATTATGTATTTTTGCATGATTTTTTTCATTTAATTTTTATTCTCTATCTTCTATGTTTACTTTAATTGTATCCTTATGGAGAGATATTTTGAAATATGATGATTTTTGCGATTTTTTCTCACTATAATACCTTCTAAGAATTAATGTAAAACTAGGAGAGAAATTTCTCATATTGAAAATAATCCTAAAATGATTACAATATTGCACTTGATTTTCGACAAAAAATCATACTTCTGAGATTTCTAATGCGTTGTTCTTCTACTTACAAGAGTTACTATGTGTCCTCCACTCTAAAACATACTCTATAGCGGGGTTTTTCGCTCTCCAGACCTTTTGCAGCGCGTCTGGGGCGATTTGGGGAAGTTATAAGTTAAGTTACACAAGATCAATTGAGAAATCACATCACTGGGCATCTGTACTTGAGCTATGCAAACATGAGTATTATAAGGCTGCTGTGACATTTTCCAACTTAGCCTGAAATCGTTTCTTATGTATTTAATTTCTGGATCGAAATGAACTAATGTTGAAGTTTACGGCTTTATGCATAGCCGCATTGTTTCCTCAAGACAGAAGTGACGTCACGAGCCTCATCTGCTCCGCTTCAATACTCATGCTTACATACCTTGTCTAGCGCCTTCCGGGCACGCCTGATATGATCACCAGTGGTGAGAGACGCCCAAGGGCGGCAGGTGGCTAAAGGGGAAGCGTCACGAGCTGGACACTCGCTCTGGGCGGGCTTCCTCGGCTGGGGAGCGGCGCTCGTCGTCGGGATGCTGCGAGGCGGGCGAGGCGCCTCGGGCGCTGGCGGGCGGCGAGGCAGCCGAGGCGGGCGATGTGGAGTCCGAGGAGGCGCGCCTGGCCAGCGAGGCGGAGAACCCGTTGAGCGGATGAGGTAGAAGGTGTGATGCGAACGAGGAGAGGCCAGGAAAGCCGAGGGGTGGGAACAGTAGTGGTCCTGGCGCTCCGTGTGGCGGTGGGAAGCGATGGTGATCACCAGGAGCACCCCCGGCGCCGTTCAGGAAGTGCTCAGTAAGTGGATGAGCGGCCGGAAGCTGCTGCTTCAGTGCCTCCAGATTGAGCGGCAGACCCTGCGAATCGGCGTACAGGCGCGCCAGAAGTTCAGTGTGGAGTGGCGACGCCAGGGAGGCGAATGACTTGTCCATTGTCATGTCTTCAGGGCGATCTGACGACGTGGACAGGAGCTTGCGGTGGAGGTTGAGATTGGCGCTGTGACGATCACGACTGCGCTTCGAGGGAAAGGCCGCATTGCAGCCGTCCACATTGCACTTGTGCAGGAGCTTCAGATGCACATTCTGATAGTGGGTCTTCACGCCAAAGTGATTCTGGAAGACCTTTCCACAGGCTGCACACCGACGCGGATTGTCCTTGTCTATCGGCACGTCCATGCCCATGAAATTACCATTCTCATACGGATCGTACATGTCGTCCTCGCTGTCGCCCTCCTCGCCGCCTGACTCTTGTCCAGCTCCGGCGTCCGGAGAGCTGGCGCCCGATCGAGCCGGACTCGGTGGTCCACCGCCCATCATGAAGCTCAGCGGTGGGAATTGTGGCCCCAGGAAGTTGTTCCGGGACATAATCAACTCATTGAAGTGATTCTGGGAGAGATTCTCAAGGCGCCTGAGAGCATCAATGCTCTCTTCACTCTTGCGACTTGTGCGTGATTCTGGACGCTGATTATCCCTCTCTGGAGACACTTCCTTCTTCAGACTCAGTGGAGCGTCTTGCTGAGCTGGGGATTTCAGCCGAGGAGTCACTGGTTTGATGTCCATCTGCTCCTTTTCATTGGCATTCACATCCGCCTTCTCTGGAAGAGGTGTGGAAGACCGTTTCCGCGCTGACAGATCCAGAGTCAGATTCTCAGGCTGCTCTTCATCATCTTCTGGCTCCTGCTTCACATCCACGGGTTCCTTCTTCACGACCTTAGCAATTGGTGGCGACAAGACCCGTCGTTCGTGACTGGCGGGAGTCGGTGGAGGAGAAGGGAGAATCTTGGGACTCTCCTTGGAGCGTATAGGTAGCTCCTCATCCGAACGGACACGCTTGATTAGCGGCTGAGGCTCATCCTGGACGGGCCCGGAAAAGTTCAAATCACTGGAATCCTCCTCGTTGGACATATGATCACTGCCCATGATGGCGCATCTCGTGGGATTCTGACTCTTGCGCTTCCTCTTGTTGATGGGAAGACATGACACTCCATCCTCCTTGGCCAGACTCAGGGAATCCTCATTGCTATCCACATTGCTCGTGATATCATCAGCGTCGGAAGAGACTGAATGCTTCGTCTTGAAGACACTGAAGTCCTCAGGCTGCATGTTGTCATCTGTGTCCTCAGCCTCTGACTTCTTGTTATCTCCCATGTCCTCGTAGTATCCGGACTGGGACATCTTGTCTGAGTGATGGAGATCCTCCTCATCTCCCACCACAACAATTCCAACATCATCGTCATCATCAACATCGTCATCTTGGATGCTGTCATGGTCAGATCGTGAAGCCTTGCTCCACTCCTCGTGCGCCTGATAGCGGCTCTCTCTCTCCCTGGACCTCTCCTGCTGCTCCAGTCTGTGGTGCAGCTCGAGATTCTGCTTGAACTCCAAATGGTGCCTCATGTCCGGCGGTGAGGTGAGCAGCGGGAAGGGCCCGAAGGGATGCAGAGGATTCATGCCGGGAATCATGCCTCCTGCTCCAGACAGAAGCATTGGATGCGGCTGTGCACTGCGTCCGTCGTGCGGTGAGATCTTCCGGCGCAAGTGCGGCGAGTGGAGCTTCGGATTGGGATTGGCGCTGTGCCGGTTGCGTGATCGTCTCGAGCTGAACATCATGCTGCATCCCTCTACGGTGCACTTGTGCATCTCCCTCAGGTGCACGGCCGAGAAGTGAATCTTGAGGGCTCCCTTGTCGCAGAACGTCTTGAGGCACACATTGCATTGCACTCGCTTCTTCCCTGTGGCCGGATTGATGAACTGCGTGCCGAGATTGATGGGCACGGAGCCCCACTGGCGCTTGGCCGGGCTCTGGGGCTTCCGGATGTGATTCGGTGGAAGACCACTCACGCGATCACTGGGCGGACCAGATCTGTCTCTGTCCGCTCCTGGTATTCTGGGCAGGGACTGTTGCTGTGACTCTCGGATTTTGGGGCTTTTGCGGGCCGACTGGGCGTTGACAGCGTCGCGGCTGAGATTCAGGGCGCTGTTTGTGTTCTCATCTCCTCTGTCTTGGTGGTTCTCGTGACGCTCGTGGCGCTCCTTGCGCTCCTCTCGCGAAATTTGGTGGGTGGGTGATTTGCTGCGTCCACTAGACTGAGGCTGTGAAGCTGCCATGAGGCCTGGGAAGGATTGCGCCATGATACTGGCGGCCAGAGGATTGGCGGACACAGCAGCTGCCATGGCCGCGGCCGAGTGGTTCAGCATCGCTGCGGCGGCTGATGTTGGCGGCGGAGGAGGCGGAAGCGGGAAGGGAAGATGATGTCCGGACATGGAGAGATTCATGAGTCCAGCTGCGTGATTCTGCAGTGCCTTCTCTGAGGCGGACTCCGACAAGCGGCGTCGGGCGTGGGCAGCCGCCGCGGCCGCCTGATGCTGCTGCAAGTGATGCTGTGCCAACTCGGGACTCAGTCTGGTGCCGGGAAGCGCACCGGGGAACGCCCCGAGGGCTCCCAATTTGCGGAAGTCAAAGGGCTGCATGTTCTGCAAATGGTTGAGGGGACTCGAGGCCGAGCCGATGCTCGTGGGGGAGTTGTTGTTGTTCAGCCCGCCGCTGTGGGGCGACGTGGAGGGGCTCTTGAAGAAGTGACTCATGTGATTGGGCGTGAGCCCCGCCGCCAGCTTCTGGTGCATCTGCGACTGCAGTTGCATCTGTGAGTGCGCCAGGGAGCCCAGGTGCATGTTGATCGGATGTGCAGCGATTCCCGGTGGCGATGGACGTCTGCTCGGCGACATCACCATTTGTCTGGTGCTGGTGGCGCTGCTCTGTTTGCCAGTTGACCTGTGGCTGGCGGACGCCTTGCCGCCGCTGCTTGCGCTGCTCGGATGTCGGTGGAATAGGTTGTAGGCTGACACGGGATCGTAGGATCCACTCATTAATGCCAAGAATGAGTCATGGGGCGCGCGCGCGTCTGTGCCGAGGCTTCCTCTTGCCAGTCTTACACTTCCGTCCACGCCGGATTTCACCTCATGCCACCCTCATTTTCCCCGCGGCACGCACACACGCGGATGTCCAAGGTAATTTTCGCAACTCCCACACGCACTGCGAACCACCTGAAAAGACAATTAAATGGTCACAATTAGAAAAACAATTGTAAAGGGAGGTGTTTGTTTTAATTGCCCATGGCTGGCATTTTTTTGTTGTTATTGAGAAAATATCGATTAGCTTCCAGGAAATGTGTTTCAATATTTCAGCTTGTTTCTCTTTTGAGCCTCTTCTCACTCTATCGAATCGAAAAATTTCATTTGCGCCTCAATTCCATTTCCGCTCTGTTGCAACGATCACTCCTGACCCGATGAATTGACGAAAAATCACACAAATACCATGTCGAAGAGGTGCTAAAGTCAACATGGATACAATTAATCTTGCCACGAAAGTGGGCCTCTCAGGATATTGCTTCGGCCATATGTCGTCTGTCCAAATGCCGCTCTTCCTCCTGGCATGGGACAAACAAACCCTCCCGAAGTGCTTGATCATCGTCCATTTAACGTTCTTATTGGGGCTCTGAAAAAATACTGAACAGGTTGCTCAAAGGAATCTACCGCGCCAGGATACTTTCGTCAGCAACTTCAAATTCAACCGCAATGACTAACTTCTCGAGGACGTTTGCAAGCCTTAAAGCTCTCACCTTCTTCGCGTCAAGTTCACTCTTCTGCAAATCAGCCTTCAGGCTCTTTCCTGCTAATGCTACAATAACAACAAAGTGTGTGAATAGTGCGTAAAACTGCGAGAAATTTATGCAAGATTTGATAAGTGGTGACTCCCATGTCCAGCGAATGTGTTCCCTTGCGCCGGACAATTAGTCACCAATAGGTTTTCTATAAGCAATTAGCGCATGCGCGACTTTAAATGGTCGTCTCTGTGGAGTATAATGGCAGATGCATAATGAGACCTGTCCGCAATTAGTGTAATTGGCGTCACGGTGATTAGCGCATTTATGCGCGCACTCAGCTACACGCCAGGTAAACACATTGACACTCCGACACAGGCTCACGCGGAGGTCTCCAATTGGAAGGCAGAGCTCTGGTGACGTGGTGTGCGTGACAATATCCGCGAGGCGTCCGTTCACTTTGCTTTGCATTCAATCCCGCGCGCCTGCCTCACTTCCGGGTGCGATCGAGCGACATCGTGTGACAAATTGTGATCACTATCGCGAGCAGTCGATTAATGATCGCCTGAGACACACTTGCCGCACGAATAGTGGGTTGAGCGATGTCGGTCCGAAAATGGGAGAGAAAGAAATGGGAAGTCGATCGCGAGAGTGGTTCTAAATTTAAAGACAAAGCGAATGGAATTTGTCCCATGTGGAACAGAGATGGGAAAGATCGCGATCTCACCTCACGATCTCATCACTCTCTCGGTGACCAATTAAAAATCTTCATAGTGATCACTTGAGCCACATGTCTGACTCGCCTTCTCGCTCACGCGCATAGATATGGATAATTATAGGGAACGGTATGTAGTGCGGCTCGCGAGTAATAACAAAAGTGATCACCAGCCATATAAAAGAGTGGTGATCGCGATGCAAAAAATCATGGGATTTCTTCTGCGTACGCACACACGATCTTTTCTCCTGGGCGAAAATGTATATATATTGGAAATACTCGGCGAGTGTTGTGATGTATGGTTTGAGAAAAAAGAGCGCGATAGGCATTTAATAATGTGATCAAAGTGGATGGAAAATATACCAAAGCGACCATGAAAGAAATCTCGGGCCAGACTCAACAATAAAACTTGTGTGCGGCTGTACAATCCAATTTTCAACGAGAAAATTGATTTTAATTGGAAAAGTCGGTCACAAAAGACAGTCAAGCCGCGCTAAGCCAAGGATTTTTGTCACCTTAACGTGATTTTAATGATCTCTCTGTCTCTCGATCGGCCGATCGATGAGGAAATTTCTTCACATCGCACCGATTTTGAGGTCAAGAAACAGTTCCCGCCGAAAAAAAGCATATAAGAAAGGAATTCCGCGAGAAGTGAAGTGATTTGCGATTGCGTAGAGAGTTTAGAAGAAATTTATAATAACAATACAGATTTTTCTGAGAAAAAACCTGAGAGATAGAATGAAGTCACGAATCGCAATGGTCGCGTTTGATCTTTCAATTATCAACTTCGTTTGAATATATTTTTTCCTTTATTCGCATCAATAATGCCAAAGCCACCAATCATTGGCTGATTTGCGCATTTATCTTATCGCAATTGATCACATGCAAGCAACCCCACTTTAACACAGTGTTGCGATCCAGAGGCTCATTACGTCTTGTTACTTCACGTCAAAAATGTCGTGTTTGCGCACACGCTGATCATATTTCAGGAGGGAAGAAGATTTCTAGATTGGAAATCAAAACTGCCAAGTTAGGCAGCTGATCTATTGAGACATGTAGACTAGGTCATAGTGTGAATTTTTGAGAGTGAGAAAATCACATGCAATCCAGGGATTGCGGCAATTTTGCGATCATGTCACGAACTATGTGAAGCGAAGAATTTTTCGATATGACATAAGTATGACTCTTGGCAATTTAATAGGAGAGCACAAGTGTAAATTTGCGAAATGCTTTGCTTTCATTAGGCACAAAATATTGGGGTTAATAAATTAAAATTCCTCGAGTTCATCTTCGCTTGCCGCCACATGATTGTGTATATCATCGCACAAAGTGCAGTGCAATTTGAGAGTGATCTCATATTGGCAAATTAAGGTGCGCGACACGAGCTGACAAAAAAACGATCTCATGCGCTCCCTCATTAAATCAGTTATGGAAATGAAGTGGTATCCGAAAAGCCAGTGTTTTGCTCCGTAATTATGTGTCAATGAAATTTAATAGGCGTAAACATTGTGAACGTGCTGCTGCTTGATATTCAAATTTGCCGTCTGTGCGGCGTAGGGTTATCGATATATTCTAAGAATATGGACGGGAGATCTGACAAAAAATGCCAGTGATAATTAATATGTGAAACCGCTGGTCTTGTGCAGCGACTGGGGGGTTATTTTGTCGTGTGCTGAATAAACAAGGCTCGATGGAGCGGCACAAATTCAGTTTGCGCCATGGAATTTGTCACAGGGAGCCCGACATCTCGCCAGTGGCTGCGGGTGCAATCATGCACATCGGCCACGATCACCTGCTCTAGTTTGTCGCGGTGGGACTCCTGGCGCGCGATCATAGGCGATCAGTGCATCGCCGCTCCACTGGACACCCAATTGCCATGCACGCCTGTTTCCAGTGGAAATGAGCCGGCAAATGGGCCAAAAGTGAGCTTGTTAATTAGCCAGTGCACAAGAGAGGCAATCTTTGAGATTTTCTTCTCTTCCTCCGCAATGCTTTACAATCCAACAACACGGCGAAAACAATCACTTCACGAATTAATTGAATTAATATCGAGGAAGTTATCTAAATTGCGCCTTATTACATGTATCCGAGCGGGAGGAGAGAGAGAGAAAAAAATCAACAATTAATTCGGATAATCATTTTATTGAGGTGAGACGAAAAGTCAGAGTTTCCAGAGAAATTTTACACACCAAGTGCAATGATCTTCAATGATTGTCTTTTCTCTTTTTCTTCTGTGGAGGTGCAGCGAGAAAAAAAAATCATGAAAGTTATTTAATTGTTTCTCGTTTACACATTTTTTCGATCTCTGCTACAATCTTTTTTCTCGCTGCGCCGCACGGTGAAAGAAAATAATGCAAAATGGAGTGGAGCACAAATGAAGAAATGGGAAAAATTCTCTATAAAATTATGATTATTTCCTCCTTTTTTTCCACTGCATCGCGCATCTCAATGTCTGTTGTTCTGCCTAATCAAATTGTTGTATTTAACACATCACTTTTGACGGTGATTCTTCACACAGAAAGACTGAGAAAAGTTTGCGCGGCAAAAAGTCTGTGCTTTTTACATGTGATCTTATGGGAGAGTAAAATGATTATTAAATGGTGTCGACATGCAAGGGTAATTCTCTTTAGGCAAAAGTGGGGACGAAGGAGCTTTTTTCCCTGGCCAAATTATCGAAAAAGTTCTAAATTGCCAAAGATATTCTTATGAAACTCTAGAGTTTGGATTTTTTCCACCTCTCCGTGTCGTTGGACGAGTTTTGAAAAAGGAGAAGTTTATTTTAATTAAATGGCACGAAATTGCTGGCGCTTGTTGTCTTTTCTTTCGTGCCTTTTTTTCCACTTCTTTTCAACTTTGTCTTTCGTCAGCATGGAAAATGGTGCAAAAGTTGTATGGAAAAGTTGAGAGTAGAAAAAATATTAGCCAAAGAACTCACGAAAGTTTTTCCTTGAGTGTGTCTAGCGTGGAAAAAATCCGAAAGAAATATTAATAGACAAACAGTGAAAGGGGTTGCAAAAAGTGTGTTCTAATGACGGTGGAAATTTTGAAGGGTTCTTCGGCATGTTGACACCTTATTTCCGAATTGTCTACTCTTCTCTGCAGTGTTATGACAGAGCAGTAAAAATACTCTTTCGCCGTGAGTGGCCTTTTAAGTGACAGTGAGGTGTTGAAATTAATGGGATTTGAGCATAACTTTTTCGTATTTTAGTTTCATCGTGAATCAGTGCGATGTTCAGAAAGGCAAAAGGCATGAGTGACACAACTTCGGGTGAAAATTCAAGGAAAAGCCCAAGATAAACGAATAAATTATGCCGCGAACAGAAAAGTGAATTTGAACCTAATTAATGTGATTTTTAGAAAGCCTCAATGTAGATCGAATTAATTTTACTAGTAAATCCGAATGTATTTGAAAAGAAATAAGGACAAGTGGGACAGATTTAGATGCTGTCTCTTAGCTGCGCCACTCATGGCATTTGCGACAATATTCATGTCACTCATCTGTGGCTCCCCATGGAAGAGTTTAATCGATAAATAGACAGCGATATTGGAATCAATAAAAATTTTGGTAGCAATAGTCATTCTCAGGAGACAAAATCAATGCCGCCAGCGTTGGACCTCAGAAGTTGAGTGAGAGCAGAAGATGCCATTAGACAGACGAAGAAGCAGCAGCATTAACGGAGGGGATCATAAAAAGAAAATGGGAATTCGAATGGACAAATAACAAAAACGCGCCGTTAAAACAGAATTAAAATTTGGTTCGGTTGCAAGTCATAGTTTGAGTCAGCGTGTCGACTGGTGTTATTTCTTATTCACATCGCAAAATTGCCCATTTGGACTGACTGGTGAGCTTTGCATCCTTGTTTTGTGTCTGTTGTCACACAGAACATCCGTGGAAAAATCCCCCAGTGTTTTGTATTGTGCAGACGGTCAAAATGCAGACAGAATCGATTCATTTGCAGTATTTTCTTTCCATTCCAACTTCTTTGGCTTGTGTTGCTCATATTACCAGCGTCGCACACACTCCTTGAAGATGATGTATGCAAATGGTACATTAATTGTTGGCATTTCATCGGATCTTTAGCGCATGTTTTCCATATGCAACTTCCACGCTGCAAGTCCGCAATCTTTAAGAACGCGCGAGGAGCGCTCTTTTTATCTCTTTCCCACCGTGAGCAATGCCAGAAATTAATTGCCATGCACATACACACTCGCAGCGAGCAAACACTATTGTAATTATTAATTAACATAAGCAAATAGGCGTTTGCCTTCTGCATCAACATTTCATCGTATTAGTTACTCATTATTGCCAATTATTCACGTTGTCCTCCTCCTCGATGGCCTGTGGCAACTCTTCCTGCCCATATCTTCATCGGATTCATTCCCCAAATTCTGCGCGTTTATTGATTTATTCACCACACTCACTGTTCCACGTGAGACATAAACGCGCCACTTGCCGACGGTGGGAAAATGCTTTGAACTCTTCGCAGAATATCGTCAGATTCCACCGAAAGTGCTGTTGCCATTCTGGATGACAAAGAACTTGGTGTGAAGATCACAATTCCGCAATAATTAATTTCTCACATTAAAGACCACTCTCATGAATTGAATGCGTAGTTGTGCTGACATGGGATTGAAGCAAATTTCCGCGAATGTTTCCAATTTGGCTTGACGCGAGATGCGCGAACAGTAAAAAGGGTGTCATAAAATATGCAGAAGTATAATCTCTTCATTTCTCTAATATGCCAAAGGCAAGGTTGCAATTCATTCATTCTCTAAACACTGTGATTTTAGTTACATGTTAATTGCAAGAATGTGAGCATCGAAATTATTTTCATCGCTGTGATTTCACTCAATTTTCCGCGTGATCGCTATAAGTTTTCAATTCGGAAGTCTGTACGTTTTCTGAATCATCATTTTAGATTAGATTCCGTGTGACTCTTCGCCCTCTGGACTGAGAATGAGAGAAACTTGAGGCGCAGAGGATTTTACAAGAAAATTGTCCCTCCCGAAGGCACGTAAAGACATCTCGATGCACTTTACGTGCTCTGGTATTTTTCATGTGCGCATTTGGGTTCAAGAGATGCAGATTGAAGATTTCGCTTCTTCGGCAGCACAATTACAATTGCAAGTGGACGGCAAGTCAAGTTAAAGCTTCATATTTTCATACAACAGAAGCACAATGCCAATAAAACGTCACGTGTGTGTCGGTCATTGATTTTCCTGACTTTAATTTCCTTAATTTCCTCCAATATAAAACCCCTCTTGTGTGTGATGCCAAGAGTAATCATCACCGATCGTAAAGCGACTTTTTTTCTGTGTAAATACTCTTCATGCCATCACGGGGAAAAATGTGGAAAAAGCTCACGCATTAGTATATTAGTTAATGTGGAGTGTTTCTTAATATTTCTCCTACATATATTTTTTTAATCTTAAGTAAAAGTATAATTGTTGAGTGTGTGTACGAGTGAATTTTAATGCGATTAAGTGAATAAATTTCAAAACAATTTACCCATAAAGTACGCACATAGAACACGAAATTGCTCGAAGGTTTATGACTCTTGTGCGGCAAATACACCATTAATTCACCTTTTATGGTGTCGTGGAGCAAAAAAAGCAAAGCATCATCCAACCCTCGATCGTTTGAGCCTTCTTCTTCTGCAGTCCAGACTTGCTCATGGATGTTTAAAGTAAATTTCAATTAATAACTATTAACTAGCTGGATTCCCAGCGGTCAGAACCGATCCTCCGTGTCTCACGGAGCGTTTTCACATCGCGCCAAGTGATGATCAGTGAAGAAAAAACACGCTAATAGACAATTTTATACACATAAGTGGAGGAATTGTCCAAGACAAAATTGTCTACACAAAAAAAAATGCCTCATCGCGCATTGTGACAGAGAGAACATTTCCTCAAATTTGAAAGCTCTTTGACCTCTTTGGGTAATCGATCTACGCATCACTTGAGATTCTCAATTCATTTTCATATATAGAAAACTCATACGTGATCTTTGCATTCTGCGTGTAAATACACTTTTAGCCAAATCATGCTCTCAATTCATTAAGTAAACACAAAAGGGGTGTTTTCGCATAAAGACGATGGTGTACCGCAACTTTTCCGGTGCTTTTGAGCAGGTGTGCTGAACGATGAAAATGGGCGCCCTGTGAGCACATCTTTTCTTCAAATTCATCATTTAAATAGTCGCGGACGTGCGTAGAGGCACACAGTTGGTGAAAGACCAATAAAATTCGAATTGTATTTGTCAGCCAATCGCATTTATGTGTCCATGGAGTTAATGAGATTTCACCGTTTTTCACCATCGAATCAGTTTCTTGGGCAAACAAATGTGCTTTCAGTTCGTTGCTCTTGCGAGAAAATTACAATTTGAGGCAATTCTCAAGTCTTATCTTGCTAATGTGACGGCATTATTCTACTCATTTTGCCTAGGTTTTCTTCGACATAAAGCCTTCTTTCTTAGTTCTTCAGTGCAGCAAAATCTCTACTGTAAATATACATGAAAATAAAGCATTTTTAAGATTACTCAAATCGGGTTTTCTTACAATCCTTTCCTAAATGCTAGAATCTGCCGAGAAATCTAGTGTTGCATAACTTCTGCGGTCGATTTTCTAAATTTAAAAGGGCTTTTCATAAGGTTCCCCATCATATGCGGTGAGTTGTGGCAAAAGAGCTGTCTAATTGGCTGCAACTAATGTCGCTTTAGTGGTTTATCAGCATTTCTCACATGGTCATAATTGACATATTCACATGAAGAGGCAATTCATCGGTATAAATGGACGTCTCCTAATGTGATGGTGTTTTATACGAGACGTGGGGATTGCGCTGAATGTGCGAGAAGTCATCAAAATCATAAATGTGAGATTGTCTCTCTGGTCGTACAAAGATGTAAAATAGCGTGTGTCATAAAATCAATCCGCGGGTTCAGTAGAATTTAACCTCGATCACAGGCCGTCGTTACAATCCTTTGTGATGCTGTGATATCGGGTGGACAGGATTGGGAAAAAAGCTCCATTTTATTATTGCATTTTATGACATTCCTCATTTATTGTTACGGAGTGACAAAGACAATTTTTATGGGGTTTTCGGACACAGACATCGCGCGCGGGATGGATGGCGGGGAGGCTACCATGGTGAATCCGTAAAAGAAGTGATCGACGTCCATCCGACCAACCACCACATTAAATAACGCCGCGGTTGATCGGCAACATCATCAATTTTACAACGTGCAACAAAAGCAAAGGCGAGTGACGGTGAGATTCAATAACTGGCGACGATTGAACACGTCTGAATTTCTCTGGAATTTCTATAAATTTTCGTGGATGTCAGAATTGTGACACACAATGATCGAGTCACTAATATAAATTATCTCCTGTCGCGCACGACATTTCCCTCTGTCTGGACGTACCATACCATGATCGACTATTATGTGTCATTATATTAAGTGGACTCTTTCGTCCCCGTGTGTGCTCTATGCAGAGTTGTGTGCAAGGTCGCTCGATTAGTCCATGTCGCATGGACGGGCCTCTAGATTGATGAGGAATCTCACGGTGACAGTTTCAGCATGAGAAAAGGAACCCCCAGGAGAGCGACTCGTCAAACACGATCACGCGCTGATCATACGCCTTTTTTGTCCCTCCCCGTCCAAGCCTCTTGTACGATTATTTCCACCGAAATTATGCCTTTTGTCCACAAGATCGATTCTTTTTGCTGTTCCGGCGACTGTCCGCAGATTTGATCACTTGATTACTATAATGCGCACCTCTTTGACCATCACACAGCATCACGACAATGTCAGTGGACCTTTTTTGTTGTTCTTGCGACCACATTTTTTTCACCCTCATTGTTTATTATTATTATTATTTTTATTATTGTAATTCTCACAGTTTCGCAAGATCTGTGCGCCGCTTTTTTCCTCCGAATCCCTCACTTTGGACACATTTTTCTTCAAGCATTATTGATTACTTTTCATTCAATTAAATTAGTTGATGTGCCTGTGTGTGTCTCGTATTGTAATACTTTTGGAGGCAATTTCATGAGCACGATTGTTCACACGGATCAGGTAGTGTAGCCTTGGCATTTTGTCAATTTTAATAGAAAAATTTGCCGCCCCAAAAAACACATTTTTTTTCTCCCCCTAAAGCGCACATCGCGGAGATCATTTTGTGAATATGGCTCCAAGTTTCCTCACAAATATTGACAGAGTGTTTCTTCACAATAGGCTAACGATGGAAAAATGCTTATCTTGCGAAAATGACAATGCCGATAACTAGTGTTTGCCTATGTCATTTAATATTTGCTGAGAAACCAGCGATGGCCAACGACAGTCTTGTGTCAACCAATTGTCAACGGAAAAGTGGGTGGATTAAAAGTGGGTGGAACTCTGTCACTGCGCAAAAATCGCAAAGGGGAGGCCACTCTTTGGGGCGGAAATACACCACGGCGATTTCTTCACTTGTGTCAACTGTCTTTTTAATTGTGTGATCTTTTATTGTTGCAATTCTCTATACCGCATGATTTTTAGCACTTTTTTGCCCAAGTTGTTTTATGGAATGGTGATTTTTATAGGAGTTTGCTTACCTTCTCTGTTGGTCAATTTGGGTTTGGTTGGTTGGTTGGTTGGTTGGGTGACAAAAAATCCAAGAGAGAAAAGTTATATCTCTGTAGGGTGGTCCAAGATGAAAGTCACCTCCATGAGTGATGGTCACAAGCTCTTCGTCAAATACGTGGCTTTGTTGTTCTTTTGGGTGGTTATTTACACAAAAATCTTGTCTTTCACTTTGAAATTTTTCTTATAAACAGTTGTTATACAATATCTCTCTTTTCACACACTCATCTCAAGCACTACAAAAACATTCTTTTTCTGACTACTGGTGTATTTATATTTGACAAAAATCCTAGACTTGCTTCTGAGTGTCACACATGAATTTAGGTCAAAACCGATTGGATTCTCTTCACGGGTGGCGCGCAGTTTCGGAAGATTTGAGGGATGCCTCCTTGAATTGTCACACTAGTAATCACAACACCACAGCAACACCTCGGGATAATTGTCAACTAGATGGCCGTTCCTGCGGGAGGATGAGAGTTTCGAAAAACTTGAAGTGACACAGGCCCGTCGTTGTCGTCACTTGAGCTGAGAGTGTGCGACACGAAGCGCTAGCGTCCTCTAGAACGGGTTTAGAGATACTGCTTGTGCTCCTACAAATGTGACGGAGAGAGAGTCGCTTGTGGAGTCAGGTGTCCGCCACCACACACAGTGCACACAGCCACACGTGCGCACACACAGCGCAACACAGCACACAATTTCCTGTAGTAACAACGCACGGCGACACCAACGACAAACGGCGGCAATCGCCGCACGATTTGTCCGTTGCAGAGACACACACACTCAAAAGGGTCGCGTCGCAGCTGCGTGCGAGCGAGATGGGTCGCGCTATGCAGCTAGAAGTGGGATTGGCGCGCGAGGGAGAGCGACGACAGTGCGGTGTTTTTCTGGAGAGGGGCTGGCTCTAAGCGGGAGACTAATCCGTCGTTGCTGGTCGCCGTTGTCGAACGCACCGACCTGGTGAGTGAGCGAGAAGAGTAGTGGCAGTTGGCATGTCGCGCTGTATCTGGACAGGCGAGAGAGAGCTTTCGCAACGGCGGCGGATGTCACAGTCATGTCTGCAGAGTGGGTGTCACAAGAAGTGGGGAGAGACACATCGGACACCCGACATCCACTCCCCTCTCGCTCAGCGGAGCTTTCGTTGGACTCTCTCTCCTCCGAGTGACAAAACAGTGAAAAGTCCCATAGGAGACAACGCCGCACAACACAGAGACACAGAGCACAGCGACTGCGGCTGTGTGTTGGGCACGAGAGCGGGAGAGAACGACACACGACGGATACAGAGTGGGACGTCACCAATTGGAGACATCTCTTGGTGTGATACTCAAGTTTGGTGCGACGACGTGAGACAAGCGATAGCCATTGTGTGACTGTAAAACAGGGATGGCATATCGATAAATCCCCACCAAATTTTTATCCGGGCACTGCGTGAGTGAGATGCCGGATTGAGCAACATCGAGAGATGACAAAAGACAAAAATATTCGCTCTTTTTTACTTACACTTTTCCATCCTCCCACCGTTTGTCCCGCGGAGCTTTTCTCTACGCCAATTTTTCTTCTCGTCCCCTGAAATCCATGGGCAATTGATGGCCCGGATCGGGAAGTGGGACTGTGTGGGACAAAGGGATAAGGAAGTAGAGGGTATTAATTGATTTTGCAACGAATGGAGACGTGCTCGAAGACCTCAATGCTCTCTAATCATTATGAGTAATTGTCCCTTTTTTCCGTCTCTGCATCCTCACAACCCATCGTAAAAGCAACCCCCGGACTTTATTGGTACCCATGCCGAAAGCATCCATAAAGTGAGGACTCATCGGATGCTGAGAGCCGCCAAAGTGTTTTTCAGGGATGTGTTAAAGTGCAATAAAATGTTGAGAAAAAATTGTCCTGGCAATAAAAGACAGTTCTTGTACAGGAAAAATATCACAATATTTTGAGTTTTGTGCGTGTTCCAGAGTGTAAATCATTTGGGTTTCTTCTGGTCTGGCTTCTGCTATTTGGATCAATTCCTGGGAATTGGAGACTCTGTGCGTGATGGGTAAATTCAAACATTGTGAGGGTGTCGCAGTGGAAAAGTTTGTTTGGTCTATCTTAAGATCTTGTTGATTAATTCTATAATTAATTACCCTACTTTGGAGGAGTTGGTATAATAACTTAGATTAAATTGGGGGGAGTTTCAAATATTTGATGCTCGATTGATTCTGCGGTCCGTAATCACCGTTGAGAAATATCAAAGTGTTTATTACTGTTGCGCAAATCTGTTAAACTTGTTCTCTTACTCAGACATTACTTGAAACTAAAACTAACCAGGAGTTGAAGCATTTTGTTCTTTTGTTAATAGATTTGATAGCAATATTTCCTGAGAATTGGTAAGGCAGTAAATTTGTGTTGACACAACAAAAAAAAATGTCTTTCCCAAGAAGGGCTCAAGCAGTCGGAAGTCCTTCAAAGGAGCCCAATTTCTCAGCTTCGTCTCTTGTCATGTGTTAATTGGGACATTAAGAGGTGCAGAAAAAGTAGGACAAATTTTTACGAGTGGAAAATGTTTTGGAAAGAAGGCAAAAAAATGCAAAACATTTTTATTTGGCCACGCGCAACATTCAAAAGACGACTGAGGGCAGTTGGTTTCAATTTACAAAGAGTCGAGATGGAGAATGTAATGAAATTTGGAGTGATCTCGCAATAATTGGTAGTTTTTTTTTGAGTGTTGTGTTGTCTCGCATTATAATTGAATTTCGTGAACATCGTGGGCAGATTGGACAGAGAGTGAGAGAATTCAAATGTGTTTTTTATTGCCTTCAATTGATATTAATTAATTGACGTGATAACGCGTTCTAATTAAATTCCATCTCAATTAACTGGCAGTCTCTCGCTCATGTCCAAAAGTGAGAGAGACGCACTTTGGTTCGGCTCTAAGTAGCATAAAATTTATTGACTGCTGCCTTCTGAGGAGTGCAGTTTTGGTTTCATATTTCATCCCGCGAGAATGTTGGGTATTATATTGTTGTTAAATTAATAATGGTTATGAGCGAGAAGATGCGCCGCCGATGCCCGTTTTGGCTTCATGCGTTCGAAGGCACCGCTGAAAGCGTATTCCCTCAGTGCAGAACTGCACGCAATAAGAGATTGCAAGAAAGGTAAGGAGAGGAGAGCCTTTCCGCGGCGAGAGAAAATCTAATGCGAACTGTGTGTTATTGTCTTCCTCGGCCTTTGATGTGTGTGTTAAATTATAGCTGGTGTTTGTTTCCCTCTCAATGGGTTTATAGGGGAAAATTTGCATATTTCTTAACGTTTCAATTGCCGGAATCCCAAACGCACGCGGACGCATTGAGCAATTTCCATTTAATTGGATTTTCTTCGTGATGATCCGCTCAAGCAGATCGCGGCTGTTGCAAATCTCCATCGCCGATAAACACTCCACATATCGAAGGCATGACAGATGGAAAGGATGAGTTGTGGAGATGGTGAGAAGATGAAATCTCTGCTGGTGGTCACACAGATCGAGTTTGTCCCTTCGATATTCACTTTCCACCTGACCATTTTCGACAATTTCCCATTCGATCCTCTGCCCTCACAAGCTCTGGGGTTTACCGACAAAGGGACACAGTCATTAGGTGAACAATTGGCTTGCGGGTGATTCTCCTTTGTTCATGTCACCAGGGGGCTGTGTTTAGAAGGCTGCTCTCCGGAGATCCACAGATAAGATAAATTTTCGATTAGACCCTCAGGTAGGTGAGGAGGGAATAAAATTCAAAACATCTTCTCTCACGCATGGAGATGAAAAATTTGAGAAATAAATTTCAGAGGCTTTATCACTTAATTCCTCTCAGTTGATCCACAATGGCCTGTGTGGCTCTAATCTCCGAAGGCGCATGGCGCTCTCTTGTCTCTCAGCCAGTTTGAGGATCGCCTTTGTCCGTGGGCTTTGTTGGGTGAAATCTCAAAATTTGCAAACTTCCCCCAAAAGGGATGAAAGGCGCTCAGGGATGAAGAGAGAGAAAAAAGAAAGCAAAATATTGCTGAAAATTGGATAAATTGTCGACAAAGTGGGACAGTGAAGGCCGACGAGCACAACAAAAGGATTATGGAACCAACATCCCTTTGAGATATGGCAAGTCAAATGGACATGAAAAGGCCAAAGGAAGGGCTCGAGAAAAGACACACTGTGAGAATGGGGAGAAAAAAAGTGGCGTCGGTGTTTGATGAACCATTAAATGCGCCACAGCATCCGTCCAGAAGCCGCTCGGAGATGGTCATTTGAGGGCGACTATCGCCCCGGGGCGCGCCGTTTGCCTTATTATGAATATAATCAGAAATGGGTACTTTATGGCATGATTAAAAATTCAGAGACTCCGGGCGGGCGTGTGATGTCATCCAATAAATAAATTCTGGAGCCGAGCGGAGGATACAGAGCGCCTAAATAATTGATCAGGACACTTTGGCGTGGGGAATCTCCTGAAGAATTTCGCAAGATGAAATGCTCATACGTGCCCCTGACATGATGGAGGCCGCATGCAAAGGCATGCGAAGGGGATTTCCACCCTTATTTATTGTGGCGAAGAGGTGAGATTTATGGACAGCCACAATCGGACACATTGCGGGACACCCAACTTTGACACGGATTAGGCGACGTGTTCCCCAGCCTCAGTCTAGAGTGGTTTGCATATGAATTTATAATTCTCGAGAATCTCACTCCAACGCTAGGTTGTCTTTGATATGAAAATGAAGGCAATTCGCCTCGTCACGCTCTCTCGGACGCATGAAAAGCATGCTCACACTTCGGGATGCGCGGTTGGGCTTTCTGTGACGCCTGCAAGTGGCTCATCTCCGTCCATTCTCCGTCCCGTCCTCTGGTTGTCTCCTCGAGAGGCGCAGGAAGAATCGAGCATTACACCAAAATGAGACTTTTGTCATTGGGATTATGGTGTGATGGAGTGTCTTGAGGAGGCACTTGAGGATGACGCGACACAGCCAGAGGAATATTTTGATTTGACTCCAGAAATGTTCTTGAAATGTCGGAAATGAGGAAAGTGCCGTGAAGAGGCAAAGGCACTGGAGATATTATTAATAAAATAACCATGGAGGTCTTCAGTCTTCATTCATCTTCATGTCTTATGCACTTATGCTTGATCTTATCGCTTCCTCGATAGATTCCTTGAGGACAGAAATGCACATGATTTCTCTCTTGTGCAATTTGCTCGGAGAAACCTTTTAACACTTCAACGTGTCTTGAAAAGCTGCTACACTAAGAATTTATAGATTTCTTGAACAAGAATCTGATGAATGAATCTTCTAAGGGTTAAATTGGATCTTCTACTAGTCACAAATCACATTGGCAGTCCAGCTTCTCAATCAAGTTTCTTCAACTTGACGCTGGAGAACTTCTACTTCGGGAATGACAAAGGAAAGAGAGTGATCTCGCGTATGGAGAGCGAAAACACAAAATCCCGCAATCAAAACACTCTCCGTTGATTTTCTCAATGCCTCAAACTCTGGGTGGTGGTGTTGATATCTCGCGCGAAGTGTGCGGATGGAATTAAGAGTCCGAAGAAGGTTGGAAGACGGCAGAAAGGTAATTTAATGAATGAGTGAGTTCTCGTGAAAGACACAAAAAGTCTGGCCTATCCGACCATGAAATATGTCACCGCAAGTTTGGAGCTGGTGCCATTCGGGGGACAAAAGTTGTGTTTTGAAGGTTGTTCGTCGTGCCTCCAGCAGGGCCGGCAGTCAATTTGGATATTTATGGGGATTCTCCCGAGAAATTATCATGCGATTTGCTTTTTTTTTCTCATGCCTCATCCAGTATGAGATCACATCCAATTTTGATTAATTTTCTGCTTTGTGAATCACTCCCGAAAATTGAACTCGCGCGTTCACATCATTAAGGCATCTTTTCGGGGAGATGTAATTTGGGATGCGCGGTTGTGCTAAAGTTTGAAGTGTATATGAAGTGATCTATGCCCTTTTCCACTGTGCGGCCAAATTACCATAGATTGATAGCGCGAAATGAGAGAAAGATCATTAGCCTGGCCGCTTCTTGGCTTTATCGAGCGTCTTCACGAAGGTAGTCAGAAACAATTGGCACGGCTTCCATTAGGCGGAAACTATCGTCAGACTTGAAAGTCCGCGTCAAATTATTATAATGATAGTAGATCAATCTAAATTGCGCGTTTCACGTGGCTCTGCCAATGGTGAGATACATAAAAATTAATTTTTTCCCCTCCTGTCTCAATGATACAAATTTAATTTTGGTTACTGTTATTCATTACCATCAATTTTTGTGGCATCATCAGCGAGTAAATGATTGAAGCCAAATGTTTATTGCAGTTCTCATGGCAACTTCTTCCGCTTTTTGCCGCCAATACTGGACGATGGACAGTTTGAGTGTAGGCTCGAAATTAAATCTATTAAGGTTGGTGAGAGAGAAAACAAAAATGATGCCATTTTCACGGATGAAGACAAACAGTCAAAAGTTATTGGGATTTGTTTTTACTCTCTTTCAGTGTTTAGTTATGGACGATAAAAAGACGAGGAGACGCTTTTTGCCACCTCTCGAGGGGAATACACTTGTTCGGCATTTTATTTCATCTCGGCTATATTTTATCGCATCGACAGGATCGTTTGTCAATAGGGTATTTCTGTAAAAACCACATAAAATCTATCGAGGATCATCACAAGTGTGTCCGAAGCGTTGTTCTTCACATGCGTGAGGGTGAGAAAGACGTGGAAAAGGCAGAGACAAAGAAAATGAAGAAATGATTTGAAGAAAAATTGTGAAACTGTCAAAGGACATTAATAGTGGATGAAAAGGATCTCGTAAAAATCATCATTTAGCATTTGCTACGCATGTTTAGATTTTGATCCTGTCGGCATTGCATTGTCCTTTTGGGCTGGAGTGGCCACATAAAAAGAGGGAATATCTATCTTGGAAGGGAGGGCGATTTCGCTGTCTCAGGGTGATGATGATGCTTGAGGAGATGAAAGAGGACGGATTCGTCCCATTGCGGGCCACAAAGGAGTCCAAGAAGATGAGACAACACAAAAATCGAGTATAATGACTGGGTTTCTGCGAGATTATTTATGGATCTGGGCCTTATAAGCGCGCAAAAGATGGCTTACCTCTCGCCACATTGATTAATAGTGCTCTCAATAATTTGACTGGGTATGCCTGGTCTTCCAGGAATTGAGTCCTTTTGTCCCCTTTCCGAGGGTGTTCCAAATGCACCGAACAGCCCATGAAATTGCAAGACAATCACCGTAATTTTAACCCCAATTAGAGGCATTTTCTCCGGATCGTTTGCTCTCGAAGTCACTTCGCGTCTGCCTTCATTGTGATCCTTATCGCCACGTGATTGTCTCGATCAGGTGAATTTTCAGAGACAGATTTGGCGGTAGTCAAGTACATCTCAATCGCGTGTGCATCTCCGATGTTGCATGTGCACTTTTCTAGGTCGCCAAATTACTATTCAGTGATTTGCAATTTTGATCAATACTTTTCTCAGCTCACTCCTGACCTACTCATAACTCATGTGCGGCTTTTCCAATTTGCTGTCCTGCAAGACTTCGCACTCCCAGAATTCGAGCCCAATTTGAGTCCAATTTGAGGAGGTGTCTTGGGACGGCGAACAGAGACATGCGGTGATAAAAAAGGAAAAATATTATTGACGAGTCACGTTTTTGGAGAGCAATTTCGCCGCCCTTCTTGTGAGGTGGGAAAAATTTTGCCAGAACCCCGCGGTGAGAAGCCGAAGAGGAGAAAATGCGTGCTTCGCCCTGACATGGCTGCGGAATGTCGCTATGTGGTGGCAGCGGCAATAACAACAATTGCTGCCGCAAGATGATCCCAGAAGAATGGACCAAACTCTCGTGACGTCGTGACAAGACACTGGCGCGATGTCCCCGAGGGAGCATCAGCGTTTTTCTTTCGTATCAAGTTGCGCGGCCGATGATCGAAATTGGCGACGAGGAATTTTTGCTCTCGAGGGATTTCTGAGGAATTCAATTCCCGAGAATGTGGGAGGTGCGCAGAGACCCCTCGAGAGAATTCTCTATAATTTGTATCATCTCATGGGTCAATTTTTTCACCGTTCTCCTCATCGCAAAATTGGACAGATTGTTGACAAGGATGAAGAGCGCACGAAGAGAGACTCGGAGATGATTAGGGAAGGAATGCGATCGCGCAAGATTGTGAGGAGTTGATGAGATGATTGAAAGAATGCAACTTTTCTTCCACTTTCCCTTGCGTAGTCACCAGATTTCCCACACTGTGCGTGGTTCTCAATGGTCGACACGACTCTCAGGGTGAGAAGACAAGGCTGTACTGACTTGAGATTCTGCGATGATGTGTTGAGAAATGACTGTGGAGAATGCAATTCCAATAATAATGTTGGAAGAATAATATCGAAGAGAGTTTTGAGTTGAGGCGAGACAATGTGAAGTGCCTTACGTGCTGATGATTCCACACAGATAAACTCTGTCGATGCTAAAAAGTCACCATATCGTCAGCTTTGCCTGTATCTCGAGTTGACAGTGCTAGAATACGTGTGATTTGAGTCTCTCTCTTCTCTGTGATCAGTCAAAAGGTCAGTGCCGCGAAGTTAAGAAACTACACATAGGAAATTGAGAAGCAAAGATACTTTTCTTAAACTTCACTAAATATAAATGTAGAAATCTTACAAATTTCAAGAAAGAATAATTATACAGTTCGTTTGAGTGGAAATCAACAAATTTATGCAACATTCCAAGTCAATCGAATAAGACATCATATTCCACGTTGACTCCCAAAATCAAGCTTCGCATAAGCAGAGTTGGTGCTTATCTGCGTTTCCAAATACCAGCAGAACCACTGACATCTTCGCCACGATTCTCACCTTCGACCCTGGCGAATCGGAGAATCACCTTGAGGAGTGACACAGCTCTTTGGAGTCGATGATTGTCAGTCGGAGGAGTGAAAAATTGAAGAAATCCACGAGGGTCTCCTTGACAAGTGTCGGACTATTTGTTACACAAGTCTTCTCCTGTCACTTGTCTCCCGAAAACGCACCACTGCCTCTGGAGTCAGGTGAGAAGAAAAAAGGTGCAGCAAATTGGACAAGAGAGGCAGACAAAAGGATATGATGTCCCTTCTTTTCGATAGATCCCTGATTCCATTCTCTCTCGATGGGATGGAATATTATTCGTCGGCACACACCTGACATGCTGTCTTCTTGATCCTTCCACTTCACCTTCGTCTCGGCTCGTCTCTGGGCGTCAGACTGGGAATCATGAGAGTTGATTGTGGGCCACAACAGAAATCAAGGCACCCCTTAGCGCCAGCGCCACGCGGACCGTCTTTTGATCTGCACTCAATTCCAGTGTCAGCGACAAGAAACGGATCCCCGGATTCTGACTCCTGTGACACATTCCTGCAGCTCAATTCTCACACGATTTCCCGCCGCTGATCTTGTGGATCTCTGAGCCAAATTACAGACTCCCGATCGCGAGGCTAGGATTTGAAATTATAGACACTGGGCGAGATTTCACTGTGCGAATCATAAATTAAGTCTCAAGAGTGTAATCTCGAGTTCACGACTGTGGCCACTATGGGATTGCACATTGTTGGGGAGTCTGGATGCAATATGGGCAGAGAAAAGAGGTCTCCGAGGGCGGTTCTGGCCATGCCATCGTCATCATCATCAGCAGCGGCAGCTCCGGAGTGATTCGCGATGGTAATTACGTTATGGGATGCTGAACTGGAAACAAGGTAACGCTGTGACGTCTTTTCGTGCCGCGAAAAGCGGAATGCGGGTAGAAATGGGCAAGAGTATGGTTATAAAATGATATAAATAATTCCATCGACAAAGTGGGAGGATCACACTTCCACCGACACAAAAGGGGGAATTTATATTTATGACCGAAAAATCTTAATGAAATGTCAAAATGCGATGCTTTGGAACAAATTGCAGCGCGGTAGGGAAAATGAGTGGCGCACAAAAGGAATCATCCTGAGTGTGTTTAAGGATTAGAGACTTAAAGCTTGCGTTCATGTCTAGAATGTGAGTTTGCAAAGGTGTAGTCAATGTTTTACTAAAGGACGCGGAGTGTGAAGCTATTTAAACGTATGCTAAAACCGTAAGAAGTGAATTTGAGTGTTCGTTTAACGTTTAATTTATCCGAAGAGAAGTGTGAGGGTGAAAATTTATGCTAAGGATGGATTTTAGAAGCCTTCTCGGGGAAAGGGGTAAAAGGAACCCTTGCCTACGCCCCTGGAAGATGGTCTATTTGGTGTGAGCTGGAGCAAAAAGAGCTGAGGGATTGTGCGAGGGAAGAATTCTCGGTGGATTCTCGACAATTGGCTCCAGAAGAGCCAAAAGACGCCCTCGGGGCGCCCATTGTGTGCAACAAAGAGCCATCTCTCCGGCCAGGGGAGCGAGGGGCGGCTGTGCCGTGAAAGAAAATTATGTCCGTGATAACCTCGATGGTCGTCATCATGCAAGTGCGTCGCCTCCTTAACGGGAAACCTATTGATCGGTTTTGGGGGCGGTATTCATTTGGTGTCGTTTTTCTTCTTTTGCTCCTCTTCCTCACGGTGATAAAGGCCATCTCGGCTGAGGAGAGAAATTCATCTCTCTTGTATTTAACTAAAGATTCCACGGAGGGTTGAATGTTTTGCTTTTTTTCAATCAACTCTGGGCACTTTTTGTTGCATTCCACATCGCGAGATTATTCCCTTTTGTGCCACGGCATCTTCTGGGAGTCATTTTTGGGAAGCGCGCAGAGCGATGATACTTAAGCAAATGGGTGAGGATGGTTATTGTGAAGAGAGGGATCAATAAAAGCTGGCGGCTATTTTGACCTCTACCATGTTGCAATAATACCAATAATAATCGACAATAAATGTGCGAGTGTTATATGACGGGTAATCAGTGATGTCGAAGCTATTGTCTCGCCCTATCAAGATCTCTTCCCTGCGCTTTTTCCTCCTTGCTTTGAGTGCGCGAGAGGTGAACTCCTCAGGAGGGTGGGCACGAGGAATCCTTGAGCTGGGCCGCGTGGTGCTCAGGTGAGCATGAAAGAAAATGAGAAGAATCAGCAAGAGAAAACCCTATTAATGATGACACGAATCATAAACAGATGAGATAGCGTGTCAAGCACATTTCGCGCTTATTAATTCATAACTTCACCAACTATGATAATTCAGGTGAGTCGGTTTGGGGGCGACGCGGCGAAGGGGGCCGCCGTGTCTAGAGTGTTTGACGGAGGAGAAAAAAATATGACAATAATGCGGTTACCCCATTCATTTACTTTCTGAATTTATTCTGCACCGAGTGTGTTTTTCTCTGCCTCACTCTTCATGCCTTCGGATCTCCTCTGCTTCATTTTATGCAACTTCTTAATACAATAATGCGTGATTGTTTTCCCATCGCTGCACTCCCATCATCATCAACGCCACACACTGGCATTAGTTGCGGATGCGTCAAATGATAATTAATTAATTTTTTTTCTTCACCTCTCGTCGGGCGTCCCCGCGCACCGGGAGTGGGGGCAAGCGAG